GTAGAGCAGACTAGCCTGGGACTGGAAGAGATCTGCTTGGTCACCTTCTAGTGCTGATACAGGCAAGTACTACCGTGCCTGACCTGCTTTCTTGCTTTGATTTGCACTAGGGTTTTTCAGCATCTTTTCACATGCTTTTGTGCTTCAGTATTTTGCTTTTGAATTTGTTTAAATCCATGCACTTTAGTCTAGAAGTAAATCTACACTTAGGTGGGTAAAGTAGCATCTTCTCTTAAGTACATATAGAAGATTGTGTTGGGTGGGTGAGATAGCTCAGTCAGTTAAGTACTTTTCATAATCATGAACACCTGAGTTTGATGCTGAGCATCCATTTAAAAAAGCTGGGTGTTATGGTGCATGCTTGTAAATCCAGTGCTGGGGAGGCAGCCTAGCCTCCTCATTGAGTTTCTTGTCTCTGAAAAATAGAGTGGTTGGTGCCTGAGAACTACACTCGAGGTTAACACAAGCCTGTGCATATATGTATGCACACACACATACACATACACATACACATACACATACACATACACATACAGACATGGCAGCCCACAACTATAACTCCAGTTCCAGGGGATCTGTCACCTCACACAGACATGCATGCAGGCAGAACACTAATGCATATAAAATAAAAGTAAATGAATCTTTAAAAAAAGTTTAAGAATCAGGGAAGGGGGGCAGGGAATGATACCTTTTCCAGATTAGTGAGGATTTGTACATGGCAGAAATTCTGCTTGAACAAGCGTAGAGGAAGTTAGAGGTGAGGTGTTCCATTTCTCCCCTTAAGAAATTTTATGTCTTTGGAGAGTATTTGCCTGCTAGAAATAGCTTAACTTATGCATAAAGATGATGCATGCTTTTTTTTTTTTTTAAGATTTTATTTATTATGTATACAACATTCCGGTTCCGTGTATATCTGCACACCAGAAGAGGGCACCAGACCTCATAATGGATGGTTGTGAGCCACCATGTGGTTGCTGGGAATTGAACTCAGGACCTCTGGAAGAGCAGTTGGCGGCTCTTAACCTCTGAGCCATCTCTCCAGCCCCAAAATTCTAGCCTTTTTTTTTTTTTCCCCCCAGACAGGGTTTCTCTGTGTAGCTTTGAAGCCTATCCTGGCCCTCACTCTGTAGACCAGGCTGGCTCAAACTCACAGAGATCCACCTGCCTTTGCCTCCGCCTCCCAGTGCTGGGATTAAAGGCATGGGCCCCCAACCCCCGGGTTTTTTTTTTTTTTTTTTTTTTTTTTTTTTTTTTTTGAGAATATGATCTCATAGCTAAGGCTAGCCTTGAACTCCTTGTTCTGTTGCTTGCCTGCTAGTGCTAGAGATTACAAGCATTCACTGCTACTTCTTCTTCATTGTTAAATAAGAATAATAATCTCTAGGAGGTTCTGCTGATACATTGGCATTTTGTTGGTGTCTTAGTTTGCTTTCTGTTGCCATGATAAAACATTCTGACCAAAAACAACATGAGAAAGAAAAGAAAGGGCTTATTTGGCTTAAATTTGTCTATCACTGAGGGAAATGAGGGCAGGAACTAAAGACAGGAACTGAAGGAGAGACCTTGGAGGAGTGCTGCAAGGAATGGCTTGCTTAACTTGCTTTCTTACACTGCCAGGAGGCATACCTCCTATAGTGGCCTGTGCCCGCTCACATCAAGCATTAATCAAGAAAATGCCCAACAGACTTGCCTGCAGGTAGTCTGATGGAGGCAATAGTTTAATTAAGGTTCCTTCATTGTCAGCTCATCAGCAAACATCCTTACCCACCTGAGCCATTTCAATAGTACCTGAACTAGTATTTTAAACAAATCAAAATTTAGTAACTACAGTGGTATAGTTCAATAGTAATGTGCTTGCTTAACATAAATGAAAGCTTGTTTTAATCTTTAGCATCATTGGAAAAAGAACACAGTTAAGACCAGGTAGCTAGGTCTTATGGTTCATACCTGTAATCCCAGCATTTTGGGGGCTAAGGCAGGCCTGCAGTCAGTCTGAGGTTAACCTGGGCTATATAGTGAGATCCTTTCTCTACAAACAAACAAAACCTTAAATAAGTAAATAAATTTTAAAAAATATAAAGTGTCTAGTTTAAGCCTACTGGTTCCCAGTTCTTAGGTAATTATCATTGTGTAGGTAATTTATCCTTGTAGTTAAAGAAATGATGCACCATACTTGTTCTAGAAAAGAAAAATTCTTAAACTTACTATTGGGTGCCCCACCCAGATTTTTATCCATTAGGACAATCTGACAGATGAGCTGCCCCCTAGAAAGAGACATTCTATATGGGTAATAGCACCAACTTTTAAGTTCAGAGAACTTTAAAAAAAGTGTTTAATCTTCTGTACCCTGTAGCCTGTAGAGCTTAAATTCTAGTATTCATCCTGATCCTCTCGTTTTCTTTACTCACATGGAGATAGAAGTGTGTGTCCTCCTCATCCAATCCTTTCCCCAGATCTTAGGAAATCACAGGGAGCTAATTGTAGGAATTAGGTAGTTGGTTGTTGACTAGTAGTCAACCAATTCTTTATAGCAATTTTTTAAAAACATAGCTTTTTTAGTTCCTTGTGTAGTTTGGCTATTAATCCATTGCCAGCTATATGGTTTGCAAATATTCATAGGTTATTTCTTCACTTATGTGATTGTTTTGTAATTGTTTCCTTTGCCCTGTGAAGCTGTGAGTTTGATATATTCTATTTACTTATTTATGTATTTTTGCTTTTGTTTACTATATTTGGGATATTGCACAAATATATAAAAAGAAAGAAAGAAAGAAAGAAAGAAAGAAAGAAAGTTCTTGCCAATTCCAGTGCCCTGAATTGTTTCCCTTATGTTTTCCTTTAGTAGTTTGGTTTCTTTAATCCCTTTTCTGGTGATTTTTGTAACTGGTGCTTTGCTCATTCCACTTCTGGAGACTCAGTTTCCCAGCAGTTTGTTTGTTTGTTTATTTTTGAGACAAGGTTTCATATGGTCTGGTCATCTGCTTCTCTTGGATTCTCTTAGAGACTTTCTTTGCACAGGTTGCATATTTTATGCATTTCCCTTCAGGCATAAGATCTTCTTTTAGGCAGTTAATTCTTTTTAACCAACTTCTGATGGTTCTTTTTATGTTATCCTTAAAATTTTAACTTGATTTACATATATATATATATATATATATATATAAAATTAAAGCAGTAGATTCTAACTGAAAATAAATTGTTGGGACTAATAGCTGCCATCAGAGCATTTAAATTTTAAATGCTATTGAAATGAGATGGCTGAAGAGGGTTAAGGAAAGTGTTTATGGCCAAGCCCACAAACTGAGTTCATTCCCTGGGACCCTCCTGGTGGAAGGTGAGAACCAACTCTAAAAGATGTTATCTGACCTCCACACACACCATGGCATGCACGTGCCCATACACACACAAATAAATAAATACTAAAAAATGCTGTTGGAGCCAGATGCATTTTTCAGAATATGTCCTTTCACGGCAGCTTTGTACTATATATTGAGGTGAGTAAAAGCTTATGCCCCCGTTCAAAATGCTTGAATCTTTTACTAGCCAGCATCCTCTTAGAGCTGCAGTTAGACTCAGCATTCTCAATCCTCATAACAAACTTCTCTGTATTTTAGTCTTTTTTTTTTTTTCTTCAGAAAACAGGCTTAGTCTGCTCATTGTAGCTACTCTGCTTCCTGTCGTAACACTTCTTTCCCTGGGCATACATAGAATCCTTGCCCTCTTGTACTGTGGCACTTTGTGGGACTGGTTCTTGCTACATTTCTTACAGAAAGTCCGGCTGGTCTTAGGACATTCACCATGTTCGTGGAGGTAATATTGACATAGAAAAGCCAAAGAGTATTTTTTAAAAAAAAGACATTGAGAATATTGTCATGATACTTTTTTGGGTTTGGATTTGACCTTATTTATTTAGCTTGATATTTAAGAATCACGTTAAAGCTGCTAATTTAGTTGGAAAGATAAGTTCACATAGTTTATCTCCATTTTCCAGTCAAGTAGAAAAACAAACATTTATTAGGCAAAAGAAAACAATAACTACTGTGTTGATTAGCAGGAACCTTAAAGAAGGTATCAAGAGATACTGTATTGCTTGAGAAGTTCTTTGGTTGTTTGGCTTATTTTTCATTTCTCTTAGTTTCTTAGTTGTTGGCAGCTGGGTCAGGAGTGTCATTTAGGCAGAGACTTGTCTTACTTGGTGTGGGTTTGCACCTGATTAGGTAGAATGTGGAATCCTTGGGTTTGTGTTGTTTAGTCACTGAGAAGCAGAAAGCTTGTGTTTTGTCTACTTCATAGGGGCTTCCCTCAACATGAGACAAAAAGGAAGATGGGGGGGAAGCTTTTTGTGGAGAGCAGAGGTACTGTTCAGTTGTTCTTTGTGATGATGGTAAAGAGATGGGCTTTGAAAAGCCATCTAACATGGATTAAGATGTAATCGTATACAAGGTCTTCATCCTAAGTATATCAGATACCACCTGTGATTGCTAAAAAACCTAGTCCAAAGTAGTTTATGGTGTGTGTGTGTGCATGTATTTTTTGCTCATATAACTAAGCAGTTATTGAAATTGATTTTGCTCTTTGCTTGATGGTAGGGCTCAAGTGTCTTCACTAGGACAGTTCAACCAGCATCCTCAAGTGTCCCTGAAATTCATACTCCTCTCCTCTTGGGAATTGAGTACATTTCTCTTTTCTTTGTTTCTTTCTTTGTCCTTCCCCCCCTCCTTTTCTTTTCATCCTTTTTTCTCCTTTTCTTTTTGGCTTCTGCATAGATAGTCCAGGATGTCCACCCTTTTCTTCCTTGTAGCAACGCTAAGCCTTACAAAGGATTTGTTAATAAGATGCAGGCTACTCACTCTCAGTTTAAGTTATTAATAAGCTTGCATTTGTTTTTAAGTCCTTATTACCAGACACAGACAGTCTCTGAAATTTTATAAATGAATAAAACCCTGTTGTTGACAATGGAGATTTTTTTTACATTGGGGTGGAGTACAGTGAAAATTGTGAGTTTCAGTGTAAATATAACTGGAATTTGGGAATTGTGGAAGAGTCAGTTCTTCACCTTCTTCTGATGGACACGAAGCTGAGAGACTAGGGGCACCTGAAAAGAAAGCATTGCTTTCAAAGGCATGTCACCTTCAGCTATTCTGACCTCGTGGTCTCTTCCATCTCCAGTGCCAACCAGCTGTGGACTATGTAAGTGATCACTTTTGTCTCTGTCTTCAGTGTGCTCTAAATTAGTATCCTCTGCTTCAGACACTGTTCTTAGTGGCAACTAGCCTGGTCTCACAGTTAACTCTTTCAGTTCCCCCATCTCCTCTCCTGTTTCTATATGACTGCCAGCCTAGTCTTTTCAGAATGTAAATCACCCAATCTCTCCTTTTATGCAGCACTCTGGTTTCTTATTTTTCTTTTTTTTGGTGGTTTTTGGAGAGAGGGTTTCTCTGTGTAGCTTTGGAGCCTGTCCTGGCACTTGCTCTGGAGACCAGGCTAGCCTCAAACTCACAGAGATCTGCCTGCCTCTGCCTCCCGAGTGCTGGGATTAAAGGCATGCACCATCAACGCCTGGCCCTATTGCTTTTAAAATTTGAAAATCATAAAATTTTTATGCAGCTAGACAGAAATGTTCTTGTAGTCCCTTGAAGATACAGTATGGTTCAAATACTTGTATAAGAAAATGTTTTAGAAAAGGACACTGGTTTAGACTTCAGGTACAGGCTCTAGTATGTGTTATATGTCTGAACTATAGCTAGTTTCCACATTCACATATAACTGGCTCATAGTCTACAACTAAAGAAAGATAAATTAGAAAGCATTTACTGTGTTTTTCTTTCCTCTTGCTCATAAAACCCTACATGTGACTAAAAGTAGCACAAGAAGTGAAGACATACCATCACAGTATTGAATGGAGAAGTGTGGTCTAGTGTGTGTGGGGGGACAGGGATTTATTTGTTTTTCAAAGCAGGGTTTCTCTGTGTAGCACTGGCTGTCCTGTGTAGCACTTACTCTTAGGCCAAGCTGGCCTCTAACTCAGAGATCTGCCTGTCTCTGCCTTCCAAGTGCTGGGATGAAGGCGCCGCTGCCTGACCCTGATGTGTCCTTATTATTCCGTACATTTTCTGTTCTTAGTGGTGTGTAAAATGCACCTTTTCACTTTTGCCCTTTGACATCTGAGGGGGACTGGTTGGAGTAGCCCTTTGGATACTGAAATCTGTGGATTCCTCATATAAAATCGAAAGATAATTGACATATAGCCTGTGCACATCTCCTGTATACTTCAAGTTATCTGTAGGATACTTACAGTAACTAATATAACATAAATGCTATGTGAATGGTTGCTGCACTGTTTGTTGTATAGTACTGTTTAGGGGAAATAACCAGAAGTTTGCACATGTTGACTATAGAGGTGACTGTCACAGGTCTAGCTACGTAGTGTGAGAGCGAGATGTGGTGTAGACAGTGCTCTCTAAGTGTTGGAAATTGGTGAGGGGCATATGGAGTGGCTGGGACTACAGCAGTGTGTGCTAACCCTTCATTTTTCTTATCAAATATATATACTTGGTGTGTAATAAATTCAAGTTTTGCTTTGTTTCCTATTTTCTGGAAATATTTTTTCTTGAACATTTTTGATCAGAGATTTGTTGAGCCAATGAGTGTGAAGTGTGGATGTGGGGAGTAAGGTGTAAGTTTATTCAGTTGCACATTGCTTCTATAACAGCTTTTAAAAATGTATTTTATTTTGTATGTGTGGGTGTTTTTCCTACATGCTATGTCTGTACACTGTTTTAGTGCCTAAAGCCTGAAGATGGTGTCAGATTCCTAGAAATGGAGCCAAAGGTGGGTGCTGGGAATTGGACCTGGGTCCTCTGGGAGAGCAGCCAGTACTCTTAATCACTGAACCATCTCTCTAGCCCCTATAATAGCTTTTTAATAATTAAAAATTTAATGTTTTACGGCCTTTTCCCTATAAAAATGTGAGCCTTGTGAAGTAAAAACTACCTTGTGGTATAGTATACGTAATTCCTGTAATGAGATCACATGTCTGTAAACCTGCTACTGTTTAGGATTATAGACTATTTATAAATAAAAATATGCTTTAAAGGATGTTGTTAAGTGAAATCATTCAATGACACAGTTCCATGATTTAACGACATAACACAAGAACATTTCTCTACAAATATAAACAGTAAAAACGTTTTGTTGATATTAGTTTGCTTGGGATTAAAAGATCATATTCAACTGATTAGAAGTGACTTTAATATGGAATCATTGCTTTTAGAATAATCATGGGCCAGACCGGGAAGAAATCTGAGAAGGGACCGGTTTGTTGGAGGAAGCGTGTAAAATCAGAGTACATGAGACTGAGACAGCTCAAGAGGTTCAGAAGAGCAGATGAAGTAAAGGTAATTTTAATCTTATATAAAATTGAAACTAGTTTCCTTCACCCCTCCCCCCAAGTTAAAGAGCTTTACTTTGAAATGATAAATTTTCAGTCAAGTTCATATTTACAATAAAATAAAATCAATGAAGACTTGAAAGGTATGGTTCTTGATCTCTCTTCATTAAAATTACTTCATGGTTGTTTGGTGTAGTGGTATGTGCCTTTAATCCCAGCACTTGGGAGGTAGAGGCAGGAGAATCAGAAGTTGAAGATTAGTCTGATGATTGCTGCCAAGCCTGATGACCTGATTTTGATTCTTGGAACCTTCATGGTGGAAGGAGAGAATCAATTCACACAAGTATCTGACCTCTGTAGAAGTAGTGTTATGGCATGTCATACATAGCACATGAATCAACAGTGCAATAAAAATAAAGAAGTTGCCAGGTGCTGGTGGCGCATGCCTTTAATCCCAGCACTTGGGAGGCAGGGGCAGGCGGATCTCTGAGTTTGAGGCCAGCCTGGTCTCCAGAGTGAGTGCCAGGATAGGCTCCAAAGCTACACAGAGAAACCCTGTCTCGAAAAACGAAACAAAAAAACAACAACAAACAAACAAAAAAAGAAGTTAAAGATCATCCTGGGATACACATGGATTTGAGGTCAACATGGGATATATGAGATCGTTTCTCAAAAATGAAAAAAAAAAAAAAAGTATATCATGTTTACTTGTGGTAACAGTCCAAGGATTATTTGCCCTGATTGGAAACCAGTCTTTTCAGTATGCCTTTGTACTGCTTGTATAGCCTCAGGGCCCAAACACAAAGACATTTGTTTGTGTTTCTAAAGTCATTATGATTTCTGAAATAGAAGTTAAAACAAAAAGAGGATGGAGATAGTTTCCTGTCCCCCTCTCACTTACAATGAAGTAGTAGGAGTGATGTTTTTGTATTTACTAGAGTGTGGGAAACTGTAGAGTAGTGTATAAAATCTGTGTACATTTGAGGATTCACTAGCTTTTAATCTGATTTAGAGATGGTACATATTGTAACAATGAACAATTTCTTGTTTGTTTTTAAAAGACTATGTTTAGTTCCAATCGTCAGAAAATTTTGGAAAGAACGGAAACCTTAAACCAAGAATGGAAGCAGCGAAGGATACAGCCTGTGCACATCATGACTTCTGTGAGCTCATTGCGCGGGACTAGGGAGGTTGGTTAACACAAAGTGTGGTAATAATTATCCACACGTTTGGTTTTTTTTTTTTTTTTTTCCTTATTGCAATGTTTATTGCTTATTGGGAAGAAGTCACTGACTTTAGGATGTCTCCGTTTCACTGCTATTTGTTTCATTGTGTATGAGTGGCAGCCTTCTATCATGTTACTAGCAATTCCTTTAACAGTTCAGAGTGTTTAATAAGCATATTAGACTTAAAAACAACTTTGAAATCATCTCAAATGCTCACCAATTCAGTATTATTCAGAGCAAGGCTTCCTAACTTACAATTGCTTTCCTCCCTGTCTCCTAATATAAATTAGCCACATGATAAGAAATACTTCTTTTCATATTTATGAGCTAAGAAAGCTTTTTATTATGTATTTGTTTAAAGGCTAAGATTTCTATGAGAATTTAAAAAAATGAGAGATTGGTGTTTTCTTTTCTACAGAATTTTCTGAGTGAGGTGGATCTTAATAATCATCAGGCAATTTCCTATTTTCTTTTTTCTTTAAAGATTTTATTTATTTATTATGTCTTCTGTCTGCGTGCCAACAGAGGGCACCAGATCTCATTCAAGGTGGTTGTGAGCCACCATGTGGTTGCTGGGAATTGAACTCAGGACCTCTGGAAGAACAGTCAGTGCTCTTAACCACTGAGCCATCTCTCCAGCCCAAAATTTCCTATTTTCAAAGAAAGGCAAGAAATTGTATGCTAAGGAAAGTGAGAAATGTAATTATATTATAATTTTGAACAGAAGTCCTATGGTAGAGTCTAAAATTAAATATTTCACCAGAGTGTTGCTAGCAAGATGAGGGGGAGTGGCAGAGGTCTAAACACAAGCGAGGTCATTATTTGGATTCAGGTTTGAGCATTTCTGTTTAGGTGCCTGTTTTATGGATAAAGATATGGCATAGGGTGTTAAGAAGTAATTTGGAATTAAGATTCTACCATTGTGGTAGATTATTTATGAGTGCATAAACATGGGGAACATATATTTGTTCTAAAGTAATTATTCAATGAGAATTTTAAAATATACCAGTATTATAATAAATAAGCCATAATTTGCTGTCATGTGAGGCCTGTGGAGGTGGTGTGAGGCTGACTTCTGTGATACTATAGCAGTTACATACATGATCCTGATGGTGACTTTGATGTTAATGGTGTTGTGGTCTTGGTGAGAATATATGATTTGGAAAGACTCCTAGTTATTTATAGTTTGTAAGGTGACAACTCTTTAAAGCCTGACTTATTATTTTATAAATATGTATTTTAAACTGATACCTTCCCCATTATCTCATGCAAATTAAAGAATAGACATTGGTGGTAATAGCTTTCATTTCATTTGAAGAGTAAAGGGGTAATTTTCTATGCCTATGAACATTCTAACACAGGGCTTGGGGGTAATTCTTTTGCAAGGTTTGTTTATTTGTTTAAGATTTATTTTTGAATGGGGTGTAGTAGCCCACATCTGAGGCAGGCAGATTATCTGTGAGTAAAGTTTAGTCAGGGCTACATAGTAAAACCCCATCTAAAAAAATTATTTTTATTTTACATGTATGAGTCTACATGTATATAAATGGACTTCATGTGCCTTGTGTTTATAGAGATCAGAAGGAATCTAATTCCCTGGAACTGGAGTTAAAGCTGGTTATAAGCTACCTTGTAAGTGCTAGAAACTGAACTCAGGTTCTCTGCAAGAGCAGCAAGTGCTCAATTACGGAGCCATATCTCTATCCCCTTCTTTTGAAAGTTTTGTCTGGTGACCTTTTTAAAATTTTGAGTATTTCGCTGGGTGGTGGTGATGGTGCACGCCTTTATTCCCAGCACTGAGGAGGCAGAGACAGGTGGATCTCTGTGAGTTCAAGGCCAGCCTGGTCTACAAATTGAGTCCTAGGACAGCCAGGGCTGTTACACAGAGAAACCCTATATCAAAAAACCAGGAATAAATTCATGAGTTCTTTAACCACACACACACACACACACCCTACTGTGTCCATTTATTGTTGTTTGTAGATAGACTGTTTTGAATATTTTTGTTTCCAACATATTTTTATTTATTCTTTGGGGATTTCACATCATACACCCATATCACATTTGCTTCCCAGACCTTCGTTACCTACCTGCCTACCTCCCTCCCCTGTGACTGCGCCCATAGGGGAAAAAAAAAAGTCTAATTTTTATTATCTATATACTCACTCGAGCATGGTCAAACTCTCAGTGGTCTGCCCCTTAAATAAAACTGAGTCCTTCCTCTCCTGTACCCTTGCTTGAAGCAATCTGTTATGGAGAGTGACACTTTAGCATCCTGTCACAGTTTCTAAGAGTTCCCTTCCATGGCTTCCTGTTTAGGCTGTTACTATTTGGGAGTGTGGGGTAGAGGTTAGGGTTGTCACAGAAGTCTTCCATGTCTTTCTTTCTCAACTGTGCATCTGTAGTCATGGATATCACTGCCAAATAAGCTTATTTGCTCTTTACAGTCTGTGGGAGTTTGGATCATGGCCTTCCACAGGGTTTCTGGCATCAGCACAGATCACAAACAGGACTCAAGGTTGTAGTAGGGCCATGGACCTAGACAATGCCCTCAATGCATCTGGCACTGTGGACATCAACATGGATTCAGGCCACAGCATAAACCATGGACATCTGTCAGGTCTTCAGTGGCTGCACAGCCACAGACATCAACAGACCTGGGCACAGTAAAATTATGTCCCCAGGTGGCAGCACACGCCACCCACATCAGCCTGTGTATCCACTGCCCGCCCACATCAACACAGTGCTGGCCTCAGTAAGACCACAAACCCAGACAAGGCCAGCAGCAGCAGCAAGGACCCACCAGACATCACCGTGGCTTTGGTGGCAGCTCAGGCTGTTCTCATCATTATGCCACCCCCACCTCCCACCCCTGGCTGCATGGCCCGTGAACATCAACATGGTTTAGGCCTCCACTTGGCCTTTGGTGGTAACATGGGCCACAGATTATCAGCTCAGATCCAGCTGTAGCAGGACTTCGGACACAGATATGACCCTTGGTGACAGCTTGAACATTGTCCTCAGGTAGCAGTGTAGGCCACTCAAATTGGTGTGGTCCCTGCAGGCAGCATGGACCATGGACATCAAAATTGAGGTCACAGCACAGGCCACGGACATCTGAATGTTCTTAGATGATAACACCATCCTTGGACATCAAACCATTCTCCAGTCACGTCAGGGCCAGTGGTAAAGGACACCGTGGTCCTTTGAGGACCATTTCTCATTTCAGGACTATCATTGCACAGAGCAAGGGCGATCCTGCAGCCAGGGTTCTTGTTCAGTGCCTGAATCTGCTCCCAGCTGCTGCACACAGTATGAGCCACCATCCATCTCAGCCCCAGTGCACACACTGCTCTGCTCTAAATCACGCCCATCACTTCTACTCTTTCGGGGAGGCCAGAAGAGGGCATCAGGTCCCCTGGAGTTGGAATTACAGGCTGTTGTGAGTCGCCTGACACTGACCCTGAGAACTGAGCTCAGGTCCTCTGCAAGAATCATAAAGGTTTTCAGTGGTTGAGCCATCTCTTTACTTCCTTTCCTCATTAAAAGTTAAAAATTATTTCTTACTTCAAGACAATGACAATATGTTTTGCATTCATTTTTTTTGGTCTTCAGATAATCTTTTAAAGAATTATCCAGCATCAAGATGTCATTAAGTAACACCAAAGGATACATACCTATTGCTATCATGTAGCTGTTTATCAAAATACAGTTTCCAAATGACTAGCTTTGTCTTAACAACTAGAAAAACTTCTGAGTTTTTTTTTTTTTTAATAGTTGTTTTTTCCCTAGGTTTAGTAAAGAAATTGTCATTACTCTTGATGTTCTTAGTGTATTTCTTATATATTTGCCATTTTTCCCCCACTAAAAACTATAAATGTTTTTCCTTCAGTGATTTGTGTTGTTTGTAGCTCTAGCTAGCCTGGAACTCACTAATGTTAAGCAGGCTGGCTTCTGACACAGAGATCCGTCTGCCCCTGCCTCTTGAGTGCTAAGATTAAAGGTACATGTCACTATGCTTAACCTTCATTATTTTGAACGTAACTTTTTTTTTCTACTGTGAATGGCTTGCTTAGGTAATGCCTGTCTGCTTGGTAAATGACATGATAAGCAATTTAATAAAGTAATCCGTCATGTATATTTCTAAGAGAATATAATGTATTTGTAAGTATCTGAGTCTTATTAATGGGAAGAGTGAGAATTTTGGTATGCATTTAAGTGTGAGATTGTAAGTAATAGAAATAGCATTAGATAGATATAGTTTTTATATTCACGAAGAATTTTAAAACTTTTGGACTTCTAAATATTTGTAGGTTTGCTCTTTCTAGTAATATTTGAGGTAATTAACATTGTTTGCTTATGATATTTACAAGTAATTTAAAAAATGTTGAGTTCTATTAAAATAATAGAACATGTAAATGTAACTTAAACTTATTATTTCTTGTTGAAGAAAAACTGAGTCTCGTTAACAGGTAAGTTAAGTTCTTGATTGCATGGCTTATTGCCTTGTAATGCACTTTACTCAGGTGATTGTAAAGAGGAAGTTTTAGTTACAATTTGCAAAGAAAAAAAAAAATCTTAGTGTGGCCAAGCTGTTAGTTAGTATTCTTCACTCCCCAAACTCTGCCAGTTAGCAGCATCCCAGTCCTCAGATACATTCTTACATTTCAGGAGCATATTTCTTGTAAATTTGCTTGGTTATCCCAGCAGAGGTGGGCTGCCGCGGGCCCACAGCGCAGCCAGGTGACTGCTGCTGTCCCTGCAGTGCTGCTTCACTGCCCCACTGTTTGCTGTCCTTTCTCCTGTTTCCAGCTTAGCTTGCACCACTGAAACGAGGCGAGGAAAAACAGTCTGAGAGAAGCCTTTATTGGGCTTAATGTTACCACATCATAGAAGACAGCATAGAAGAATGTCTCCTAGCCAACTCACTGAGCTTGAATTGCCTGCTCATATAGCTGAAGGAA